TAGCTGATGATTGATTATAAGAAAGTTTGGCATGCTGTCCCGGGAGAGAGCCCTGAGCCCAAAAGGTCCTTGAGCCCTGGGCTCCCTACCGTTTGCAGGGCGAAAGGAGAGCTTTGAGCTCAGGTAGATCTCGACAACTCCCCCCTTGATAAGAGCTGATGACTAAAATGAATGCTATGAAGAGATATGCTGCAGGATGAGAGTTTGACTGTAGTGCAAAATTTAGATTGATCAATTCACTTGTAGTGCATGTTTTTGGAATGTGGGAGGAAACCGGAGGACCCATGGAAAACCCACTTGAGCACGGGAAGAACATGTAAACTACGCCCAAAAATCGACTGCCAGACTGTGAAAGGACTAGAACCGGTGACGTTCTTGCTGTAAGGTAATTGTGCTAAGCAATGGGCCACCGTGCCGCCCTATGAAAGGAAAGGTGGAGAAGTAGGGTTGGAAGGGGGATTCTTTAAATCGAAGATGGCTGTAGTGAAAAACCCTGGCTCTTTATAGTGGGTTAGGACTGGCCTGACTGGTGGACCAAACATAGCTAATGCAGAACCAGCCTTGTTCAGTTATCAATCAATCACGTGATCCTCTCGAAATTAGTTTATAAATAAACTTCACTTAAATTTATGTGCAAAACTGGAATATCGCATAAAAGACAACAGAATAAAGCGGCGTCCCCATCCAGAGTCAAAGAGAACAAAATCATCACTTCCTGGTTAACTGGCACCAAATATCAACAGTAAAAATGGAATTTGCTGCGGTAGGAGGAACTTTGTAAATCTTTTCCTTATTTAATAAATGACTAGCATCTCAGAAGATGATGCCGACATGCAATGAACGTGTGGTGGCGTTTGAAGCCATGAGGCGCAGACCACAAACACTCTTGACTATTCTGGAGGTAATTAATAATATAATAACACCAATACTGAAATGGTTATGGCATTTTAAAATGACCAAAACAACATTTCAGATGTTTTATAATGTGCTCAGCCTGCTGGTTTTTCCATTCACACACATTTTTTATCATCACATGATCTCTCATGATCTCATCACATAACTTTTTAAATGTGCATACTGAAATTTGTTCTGTAAAAGTGTTTTCAATGGAAACATAGCTAGTGATGTATATAAAGAGCTTTTGCACTTTTTGCACCCTCTAGTGTCCAGCATGAATAAAACAGAAATAACATTTCAATAACTCCTTTCACACATACAGAACTTTTCGGAAAATTATCAGCAATTTGTGTATGTGCGAACAGGCCCTTTTTAAAAATACTGATGAATTTGTTAAATTTGAATTTGTTGTTCAATTTTTGGAAAGAGAAGTAATATTACTGGTAATTTGCTGCTGTTTGCTGCGCAGTATGAAGGCAGAAGGAAAATTAGCAGAAAGAGCGCGTTCACGATTAGAATGCGATGACGTGAGACGTCTACTTCTGCCAATCAGAACACTCAGACGCATTCACATCTGCTCTGTTTATAAAAATAACAGCCTTTGAATATTTTTCTAGACACATTTAACTGCTAGTTATTAATCAGCGAACGTTTCTATGTTCCTTTTTTAATGCCAACTGTGTAAAAAAAATTAACAATAAAATGCGTATGATAAACCGCTGTTTGTTTACCTTCAAGCTCTGCTTCAGTTGCTTGACGTGTGTGCACGTGATGTGAAGTAGTGCTCCGGTGAGCGCCAGCACACACACATGTTATGTACATCTCAACATGTGAAAGTGTTCCTCCATATGTTTTTATCAAAGTTGTACACAATACTTATCCATCCATAGAATTTGTAATGTGGTCAAAAGTGTAAACATTTAGCCGCGGTTGTCTCTGGGACAAAACAGCTGCATGAATGCTAAAGCTTTAAATAAAAGGCAAACCATCAACAAAAGCCCGACCCTCTTATATGTTTACAAATACAAGCGCAGCCAATTAGAGCTAATTTCTGGTTAATGTTGTCAGAATGTACCAGTATTTTGGAATGGATGTGTGAATGGTCTTTTTCGAAAAACTTCCAGAATGGCCTTGCCTGTGTAAACAGTGCTTTTTTAAATTCACCGGTAAAGATGTTCTGGTAATTTTCCAGATATTTAACACTATCACTGTGTGAAAGGGGCTAAAGTATGCTTGAGGCCAGCTGTTCTACAGAGTTTTAACCTGCTTCAGAACATCTACTTGTGTATTTTATATGATCCCAAAAAGCTTGACCTGCTGTTCAGTGTGGTTTAAATCTGTGGGCCTCTACGAGCAGGGTTAATCTTTTTTTGTAAAGTATAAAAATAAAAATATGAATGAATACATTATGATTATGTTTTGTGGCCTCCATGATTGTGACCTTAAATGTTTTCTTGAGTTTGTTCAATTTGTAAAGCAAAACTTTTTCTACATTCATCAGAATTACATCTACAGTACATTCATCAGACACATGCTGTTTTTTTTTTTCATGTTGTCCTATGCACAGGCCATAATTTCTATAGCTGACTGTATATATTTGTATGGGCTAGACTGTGTCTTGATTTATGTGTATTTCTGTGAAAGTCAAACAGTGGAGCTCTGACAAACCATAATCTTTTTACAGGGTTGCTAGTTTACATAGTGTACATGCTCTTAATTTATCATCTCCGTTGCTATTGCAATACATCACAAATTGTGTATCTGAACAATCCAAATCGGCGCATGGCTCATCTTTTGTTTATTATCCTGGCTAGAAGTATAGTAACATACACATAAACTTTAAAGCAGGCATTTCTTTCAGCTGGGTGTAGTGTTTACTACAGAAGAATACCAGCCATATTCAAGATTATGTTAAGTCCCCAGTGTTCCCAAGACATTATGCTTAAACGCTTGAACTAAGTTTAAGGAATGGAACCGTTTTATGATAGAGGAGTGATATATAGTCTCATAACGCACTATTAAGGGAGGGTCAGAGGCTTAACAACAGAAAATTGGTCACCAATGTCAGCATAATTCATGAAAACGAGCCAAGCCTCCATGAATTATGCATTATTTATGAAAAGCTTATGTGTTTAGATTGGTGCAGGTAACCACTATGTGTTGAGTTTTTATTATTCCAAACTAAATTATTGTTTAAATCAATATCTAATTTTTTTCAGCGATTGAAAGATCCCCCTGTTGCTCTATTATTCATGGGGTTTTCTACCAGACAATAGCTTGAAAAATTACTTTCCATTTTCTGCACCAGAGGTATTTTTCCATTTCATCACACCATCATTTCTTCTTTCCATTTCATGTGCCACTCAGTTAAGGCAATAATGCCTGGTGTAATTAGCATGCTGTGCTCATGATGTGTGCAATCCATTCTTTCATGCTGTTCCAACAGTGGCTTTATTCAAATCACATATAAACTGTATGGGCTTAGCATTTATGTTTGAGATACAGAAAGCTTAAAAGGATAAGAGTTTTAAAAATATATATATCTGTCCATTCATCCATCTATCCACCCATCAGTCCAACTGTCTATCTGTCTATCCAGCCAATGATCTCCCTATCTATTCATCCATCCATCCATACAACTGTCTATCAATCTGTCTATTCATCCAATGATTTCCCTATCTATCTATCCATCCATCCATACAACTGTTTATCTGTCCATCCATCCAATGATTTCCCTGTCTATTCATCAATCCATTCATACAACTGTCTATCAATCTGTCTATCCATCCAATGATCTCCCTGTCTATTCATCCATCCATCTATACAACTGTCTGTCAATCTGTCTATCCATTCAACTGTCTCTCATTCCATTTATCCCTCTATCTATCCTAGTCTCATTCATCCATCTGTTTCTCAATCTCTCTATCCATCCAAATCCAACTGTCCCCAATCTCTCCACCCATTCATCCATCCATACATGCATCCATCTGTTTCTCAATCTCTATCCATAGAATCCAAATGTCTCCCAACGTATCCATCCAATCATCCAATCATTTTTCAATCTCTCTATCCATCCAATACATCTGTCTCTCAATCTCTCCATCCATTCATTCATCCCACCATCCATCATCCATCTATCCATCAGTTTCTCAATCTCTCAATCCATCCAATCCAACTGTCTCAAAATCTCTCCATCCATTCATTGAACCATACATCTGTTTCTCAATCTATCTATTCATTCAATCCAACTGTCTCTCAATCTCGCCACCCATCCATCCATCCTTTCATCCATCCATCCATCCATCCATCTATCCATCCATCAGTTTCTCAATCTCTCTATCCATCCAATCCAAATTTTTCCAATCTCTCCATCCATTCATCCAATCTGTTTCCCAATCTTTTACATCCACACATCCATCCGTTCACCTGCTTCTCAATATCTCTATCCATCCAATTGATTTGTCTCTCCATCCATTCATTCGTCCATCTATCTATCTTATTCCCAATTTCTCTATCCATCCAATCCAACTGTCTCCTAATCTCTCCATCCACTATTTTCTCAATCTCTCCATCTATCCATCTGTTTTTCAATTTATCTGACCATCCAATCCAACTGTCTCCCAATCTCTCTATTTATTCAATCCAACTGCCTCCCAATCTCTCCATCCATTCATTCATCCATTTATCTGTTCTAAATTTTTTATGTATCCATCAATGCACTCATCCAATTGAAATATTAAAAGAGTGCTCAAAACTAGTAAATTGAACTTGATTTGATTTTGCTCTACACTGTAGTTGTATTCATGCTGAGAAACATTTGCATAATGGTGTACATAATGGTGGTTATCTGGCCTCTTGAATTAACATTTCAATGAAGGTCATATTTGTATCATAAGATGCACATTGTACCTTTCTTAATGGCTTGAAGCAACATGTGTAGCTGAGTTCATTACTGGCTGTTTATTGGACAAAAAAAGAGTGCCCTTTCATGTATGTTTCTACAGTTCCCATAGCCATTACTCACTCCGAAAACACATTGCATCTCATATTATTTAATAAAAGCAGTGAATGTAATGATCTCTACCTATTTTTGTCCATTGCAGATACACCAAAATGAAAACTGCGACCAACATCTACATCTTCAACCTTGCTCTAGCAGATTCCTTGGCAACAAGTACTCTACCCTTTCAGAGTGTGAATTACCTGATGGGTACATGGCCTTTTGGAGACGAGCTGTGCAAGATTGTGATGTCTATTGATTACTACAACATGTTCACCAGTATCTTTACTCTCACAACCATGAGTGTTGACCGTTACATAGCTGTTTGCCACCCGGTTAAAGCCTTGGACTTCAGAACGCCCCGAAATGCCAAGATCGTCAACGTGTGTAACTGGATCCTTTCATCTGCAATCGGTCTCCCTGTCATGGTCATGGCCTCCACCACTTCTGATCTGCACTGTATGTTTACCACCACATTCTTCATTGTGAAAATTCAGATATTACTGTAGAAAAAGGATAGTCTTCACAAAAATGGCATTTCTGTTATTTGCTTCTTTTCGTTTATTTATTTATTTATTTATTTATTTTTTGTTTGACTCACTTTCTATGAAACGAAAGAAGATATTTTAAAGAAATTTTGAACTGCTTTGTTCATAAAATGTAAACTAATTTGTAAAAGAATCTTTAGAAAAAGGAGAAATATCTTAATTTGGGTTTTATAGAATAAGGAATGCCAGCTTCAGAAGGGCATATGGATGAGAAATAAAACACAAATCTTCATTTGTTGTGAAACTACATTTAATTATGCCTTTATTTTTCTTTTAAGCCAATGACAATGAAAACTGTAATCAGTTTTACATTTTCAGCTGGGGTTTTTTCATGAAGGAAAATATGATGTTGTGAAATAATACAAAATTGAAAAAGTTGGACTGAATACAGAGACAATTATATTCTCAACACTATGACTACAATTATCAAAACTAAACAAAATCTACAAATCTGACAATCATTTAGTCAGTTGCAGTTTAATCAGATTTCCTTTTGACAAAGTGCACTGGGCGAAGAGTTCCCCTTCGGATGGGGAACTCCAATGCTATAAGTGGATTTAGACCACGTATGGGGATTTCATTCAGAAAGCCAATCGTCTGAAAGAGTATGTTAACGGGCCAATGAAATGCCAAATGAACTGTCAGCGTAAGCTTGCGCACCTGATGCTTGTTGCAATCAACTTAGAATAAAAGCACAGGGAAAGCAAGAAGACCCATCCTTTTCGCTTCAGAGACTTCTACAGCCTTCTGAGAGAGTTGATGAGGGTTCCTCCTCAGCAGGCACTCAGGCAGGTCTGAGGGTTTTAGTGGGAGATTATCCGTCGCCTCCGGGACCATGGACCTCCCGCTTCTCCAAGCGCTCCATCCAAGCTTTGAGCGGAGGAAGCAATCCGTCTAACTAGATGGTAGCCTTTATGCTCGATGACACCGGGGACCAGACGTCCACTGCGACATCGGAGGGTGGGCTTTCATTGTCCGATGATGATCCAGACCCGCTCGCCCCCTCCAGGCAGGAAAGCGGTGTCAAAACAGATCCTGAAACGGACATGTTAGCCGTGCTGCTTCGGCTGTGGGCTTGGAGATGGTTTATCCTCCAGGTCTGCGGCCGGACCGACTAGATGGGTGCTACGTAGAGGACCAGAGGGCCAGTGCCTCTTCTTGGCGGGGTCCGCCTTGTCTCCCGTCCAGAGCTTACAAGGCTGCGGGCCAGGCTGCTTCTGCCTTGCACGCTATGGCCACCTACCAGCGCTACCCAGCTGGCTCAGCTGCACGAGGGTAGGTCCGACCCAAGCTTGCTACACGAGCTCCGCACAACAACCGACCATGCTCTTCGGACCACTGCGTTGGGGAGGACGATGTCTATATTAGTGGTCCAGGTGCGCCACCTCTGGCTAAACCTGGCTGATATGCGCAAAGTCGACAAAGTCCACTTTCTTGACTCCCCCATATCCCAGGCTAGCCTGTTCGGCGACACCGGTGAATTCATTCTGGAATTCAAGGCGGTGAGAGAGCACTCTGATGGGATGGGTAATGTCATCTATCGGCGGGACCGTAAGCCCGCTCCGCCCGCTAAGCCATACACATATGCTGCTCCTCGCCGAGGGCGCCCACCTACGAGAGCTGCCCCGCTCCCGCCTGCGCCTCCCTGAGATAGGTCATTCGGAGAATAGGGAATTTGCTCTTTTTCCGCTGGAGGGCTGGGCCCCATTTCCAACGGCACTTTAAAGTGCCACACAAACATCAATAAAAGAGCACTTTTTTACTTCCCCGCATGTGACAGCCTGAGTCTGGGATGCTATGCCTTCCAGCTCGCTGGTTCTGTGCATTTCGCCAGTGGCTCACAGGCACTGGGAGGAGGGTCTCCTTTCTCCCACCCCTCGAGATGCCATCGCTTCTCCCTCGCTTACCCAGAGCCAGGGCAATCCGTGTCCTCCAGGAGTGCGTGCGCACTCCACTCGGAGCATCGCATCCTCTTGGGCGCGTGCACACGGCGCCTCTCAAACAGACATTTGTAGAGCTGCGGGCTTGGTGACACCTAATACATTGGTTTTACAATCTGAGAGTGGAGCCGGTTTCCTCATGGGTATTAGATAACCCTTGGTGGTTAAGGAAACAACTCGGTTAAGGTGTTGAAACACGCTTGCTGCACAATTCTTCCCAACACAGAGATACATGCGCTTATTCACTCTGTCAGTAAAGTTCCCCGCTTAGGTGAGCCCAGCAGAGTTCCTCCGAGGCCTGAGCACTGACTCAGCGGAGGAGTCACTCGCTGGCCCACTACGTTGTAGGTATGCCCTCTGGTCAGCCTGCGTTTTGGGTATAGGTGCCCGCTATGCGTGATCCCCACTAGGTGATCCCATATGCTTGTTCAGCCATGGTGCAATCCCCTCTCACAGGCTGGCCCGTGTCTTCCATCTCCGCTAACCATATGTGTACTCCCCCTTCTCAGGGCTAGTCCATATATTTTGCCATCATATCTCCCCATTTAGGTAGCAGGCATCCTCCCCTTCGGGACTGCATGCTTTTCCAATGTACTGTAATTTTTAAATTCCTAGAAATTATCTAGACGCTTGTGGCTCCCGAAAAATATATCTAAATCTGTAAATCTTTTTTGAAGTGAGATAAGGGCCAGGGATCATGTTGGAAGACCACGCCTCTCTTTGATGCAGGAGCGCTCATGCTATGGCTGGCTATCCTCTCATCTGAGGCGAAGGTAAGGTGCAGTCATTATGGCGTTTTCCAGACATTTCCCCATACATGGATTAAATCCACTTCTAGCATTAGAGTTCCCCATCTGAAGGGGAACACTCTGATTACTAAAGTAACCCCTGGTGGAACGGAAATGCTAAATTGCATTGCCATAATGATTGTTCCTTAGCTGTATGTATCAGTCTCTTCAGCTAAAAAAGGATGTGTCTTCTTGTTTTCCATGTCCTTTGATGCTAAATTGATTGCAACAAGCATCAGGTCCGCAAGCTGACGCTGCCAATTCATTAGGCATTTCATTTGCCCGATTACATACTTATTCAGACGATTGGCTTTCTGAACGAAATCTCCATACGTGGATTAAATCCACTTACTGTATAGCATTGGAGTTCCCCACCTCGGGGAACAAGGGTTACTTTAGTAACCAGAGCGTTTCTTATATATCAATAGCTAACAATCAGTTATCAGTCCAGTATGAGAAGGAATATCCAATATAGTAATAATTGACCCTTTATAAATTGGCAATTACAACAAATTAGTCTAAAATATTAATTTGATAGTTCACATTTTCAATTCATCAGTCACTAGTTTGTGTACTGACCTTTCACAAGTATGGTAAGTCCATTTTTTTCATATCTTTGTACATAAAAACCATTAAACTGAGTCTAGTTGTCAATTAAAAATACAAAACTATAATATATTGATATTAATATTTTACAAAACAAAATTATATATTTTTAAGTAATGTATGCTTTAAACACTTAACATATAAATGTACATATAAAATATGCATAAACATTTTCAAATGTTGTTATAGGTTGTTTATTATAAAAGTTGAAAAAAAAACATGTTTAAAGAACAAAATTATTAAAATTATCAACAAAACTCTTTTCTTCAGTTTTAAACACAGTACCATATAAAGAGTTCAGATGCAAAAGCTGTTAAACGTTAAACGCCACTTCTGCCAAAAATGAGATAATGACATTGACTGAATGCTTTAGGCACGTAGTACAACCATCAACAAATAGATTTGACAGAAAAAAACGCAATATCCCGAGAACCAGTCAGAAACTAATCAAATCTTATGTGTTCAATGCAGCAGCGCGCTGATACACCGGCTTTTATGAGAAGACTTATTTTATTTCGCTTTCGATTTTAAAAGACGCAGTTAGATAAACTGCATGAGCCTGTCCGACTGTCAGTAAATGACAATTGATAACGTCCATACCTCAAAACTCTGTGCATTATAAGAAAAAGAAAAAACACAATGTACAGTCAGAAGTGTAACATGCATTCATAATGTTTTTTTTTCGCAGTGACGCTACTTTAAATGAGTCTGATTTACTAATCGCAACTGCGTTAAAATGTCATTCTTTTATCCCACATGGATGCTATAAGGATAAACAAGAGATCAAGACCTTAAGTATGGTGAAAATGAATGAATGAATGAATGAATGAATGAATGAATGAATGAATGAATGAATGAATGAATGAATGAATGAATGACAGTTTCTAAAATTGTCTGGGGCAGCTTTTTATATTAATGGATAATGCAGATATTGATGTTTCACAATGTATTTACACTACATTATTTGAATCTACCAAGCTTAGTTTACAATGTTTTACATTGCTCTACTTAAATTAAATCTAAATCCCAGATTTCAGAAATGACAACAGATTGTTAAGATTTAATTAATGTCAGTTTTAATGTTATTGATGATTAATGCACTTACTTGACAAATTGCATTCATTTATTTTCCTTCTGCTTTTTCCCTAGCTTATCACAGCGGGATGAGCCGCCACTTACTTGACAGATTAATATATTTTAAATTTTAGGTGGTTTGTGTAATGAGTTTTATGTTTGGTAAAATAATTTGTAATTGCATCTTTAGTGATTTTCAACTAGTTACACTGTCTTATGCCATTTGCAAAAAAAAGCACTTGTGGATTTATCTGGTTTTGATGCAAAAGAAAATCTACCTTGTTAAAAACCAAATAATTGTCTAAAGTGACATTTTTGAAAAAGGTATTTTATTTACTTGCTAATAACCTTATCATTACATATAAAATAAAACTTCTGAACCTAATTATAGGAGCCTAATAGAAAATGCTCATTAACAAGAAAAGAGGTCAGATGGATTTAAAGGGTTTTGCATCTGATCTCTTCATATTTTTTCCAGGCTGTTACACCCCACCAATTGTAAACCCCTACACTCATCCAATGTTTAACTTGATCCCCTCTTAATACATTAAGACATCTCTCTCAATACTGGAAGTGTTCCATTTTGTTCCTGTAGTGACACCAATTTTACAGACACTAGAGAAGTGTTGAAGCAGAAAATTGTTATTGAGTGAATTTAGATTGATGTCACTTCTAGTCATTTGGCAAGAAAATCAAAATGTGGTTTAATAGCTGTAGCAGTGACTCAAAAGCTCTGTAAACAAAGCCATGAGGACCTAATGACTACTTGAAGCTAGAATTGATTTTCACATGTCTCACTGTGTTATTGTACTGTGGTGTATTCTCTCTTTCGTAGCGAATGGCATCATTGACTGCACTTTGCTCTTTCCCCATCCGTCCTGGTACTGGGAGAACCTCCTGAAGATCTGCGTCTTCATCTTTGCCTTCATCATGCCCGTCCTCATCATCACCGTCTGCTACGGCCTGATGATCCTCCGCCTAAAGAGCGTGCGAATGCTCTCTGGGTCAAAGGAGAAGGACCGCAACCTCCGGCGCATCACCCGAATGGTGCTGGTGGTGGTGGCGGTTTTCATCGTTTGCTGGACGCCCATCCACATCTTCGTCATCATCAAAGCTCTGGTGACCATTCCCAACTCCCTCCTGCAGACCATCACCTGGCATTTCTGCATCGCCCTCGGCTACACCAACAGCTGCCTCAACCCGGTGCTCTATGCCTTCTTGGATGAAAACTTTAAGCGCTGTTTTCGGGAGTTCTGTGTTCCCAGCCCATCAGTTTTGGACTTGCAGAACTCCACCCGCAGCAGGAACCCCCAGCGTGATGGTCAGTCCAGTGGCCACACGGTAGACAGGACAAACCAGCAGGTATGACTAGTCCTGGAGATGTCATCACTGGAGTCCCGCAGCCAGCCCAGTGTTGACATGAGCTCAGAGGTCACGCAGGTCACAACAGGTGTCTGACACCATCAGCGGTAGGTTCAACCTCTTTAAACATCTTGCTAGGCCTCTCACAGTTTTAGTTTGAGGAAAGACTGTTGAAATAGCTCTTTTTAACCCTCGATGACACATCAATAAGCTAAGCTTATTTTAATGTCTGTGATGTTCACAGTCATGCACCTAATGTAAAGTTAGTCCAGCATTCAAGACTAATTCAGCATTCAACACTATAGTGGAGATCAAAATTAGAGAACAATTGAAGAGAACTATAGACTGTTTCCCAATATGCTTTTTTAAAGCTGTATTGCGTCCATGTGTTCTTGTGCAATGTCATCATCAACCACCAAAGTTAAATTCCAAAACAAAAGGCCGCAAGAACAGAGGACGCATGAAAGATCCCAGATGTGTTCTTGATATTAAGGATGTGTCAGTGCAGACTTGAGTGTAGTACTTGCTCTAGAAGTCCCAAAAGTCTATGCAGCTGAATAAAGGCGGTGGGAAGTGCAGCATTTTTTATTATTAAAGTTCAGAGATATAAGTCATTTGTCTCAGGAGTTTTCCTACGATGAAAGTAAGCATTGACATAAAAACGATAACAAAAGCATAAACACATTAAGGGTGTTTATATGCTGAAATTAGTTTTATTTGTATCGTGCAAAGTATATTTTTAAGGCTTTGTTATGCATATATTAAGTGCATGTTATACATATATTAAAAAGGGATCATTGTATGAAGGATGTAATGTTTAGATAGCTTTTCACTAAAAACGTGAAAGTCATGTGACTAGGCATGGGCCAGTATAAGATTCTGACGCTATGATAACCTTGGATAAAAATATCACGGTTTCATGGTGTCACAGTATTGTGATCACTGCTCTAAAATATATTCTTCTTAAATGTAAAAACTAAAATCTTTTTGCCCCATTTAACACCATATATTTTATGTTCTCGCAGACTGCCAAGTAAATTTGGTAAAGGTAACTTGGCAAGAGTGGCCTCTAGAAGAACGCAAATCTGTTCTCTGCATTCTCGGAATTAAAAAACAGCCATATTTTTCCCCAAAAAATAATATTATCTTCATTATTCAAAGTTTGAATGAGTTTTAGTTGTGGCCATTCCTTGCTAATATTGTGTTGTACAAAAAAACCAAAGGCACTTTATTTTGTTGACAGCACAGCGATCAAAATTAGAGAACACTAAAGATTCTAGCGCAAGGGAATATAACAACTGAAATTTCTGGTTAAAGCGGTCAAAAGTGTACAGTACAAACCCTTGCTCTGAATAATGTTTCAATGAACTTCCCCAAACCATGACCACTTTTCACTGACTTCTTTACTTTCTTTGTGTTCAGTCTTTCTCTACGTTAATGGAAAAACATGTTTCCCATTAGACCCAAATGAAGTGAACTTCGTACTTTCTGTTTTCGTGCATAAAAAACATGTTCGTCAGCAAATGTTAAGTTAGCCTTTTGATTCTTTCATTGGTTACTATGGACTATCAGGCCAAATTCTTTTTTTAAACAAGAGACACTGTATGTCAAACCACTGTATGTTCATCACCGAACTGGGGCTGGTTGCACCACCAGTACTTAAAGTCAGCGTAAAATCGAAATTTGCAATGTCTCTTTTGCTAGCTCACATTGCTATTCTTAATGTGAATAATTCATATTTTTATGTTTTGTTTTGGTTATCTTTAATGAAATCTGACCACTTGCTTTCCACTAGTTCCACTGTAGTGGTGTTTACATCAACATGGGGGCTTCCATAGCAACTGCATATTAATACCCTCTCTTACCCACTCATAATCCGGGCCATTGAAAGAGGTAGAGTTCTGACAACTCCATTGACTGCAATAAATATATTTTTTCAACAGCAATGATGGCTTATGGAGCCTCTCAATGGTTCCCTGAAGTTAACACATACAGCCGAGTTACAGACAGCAGTTTTCACAATTTGAAAGGTACAATGTTTTTTGAAATAAGATTGTGTGTTTTAATGTATTCTAACATTATTTGAATTAGCAGTGAAACACTTCCTAGAACTATTTTTAATCATGTGACATGTGATCAAATATTTTGGACTTCTGTTGAAGCAACTTTCTCTCTCTATGGCTTTTCTGTTAGTTTGCTTTTAGGGAATATTGTGCAAAAAGGCCTGCCTCCTATTCAATATTCCATTTTAGTTAGAAGTACATCAACATACTTAAAAAAAAAGTCTCAGCATCTTCCGGTTCACACAGACTTTAAGTTAAAACTATATTTGCGATTTAAAGGGACACTAAATTAGAACTTAATGCACTACTAAATAGTTTTGTGTTGCTGAGTTTGAACACAACTCTACAATCCAACTAAATATTACAACAGCCTCTGCCCATCAATTATGGTAGGAAAGAGAAAACAGCAACTGTAGATTACAAGGATGAGCTCGATTGATAATGAAGAACTGCAAGTTTCTCCATATTTTACTGTTTAACAATTCAAAGGTTTCTCATATTACATTATTTAGTGCAACGACGCATTACCTTAAAGAGAACTTACAACCTACTTACTACGTTCTATTTTAAGAATATGTGGTGGGACCAAAAAATGTGAATTTAGTTATAAAGGAGCTAGTAATTACAAAGGCCTAGTGTGGACTTTTTTTTTTTACAAGAACAAGAGCTGGTAAAACTCTACAATAGTAATCAATTCCAGCTGCAGTGTTAAACTCATTGACCACTGAGATTCTCCACATTCTACTGTCCTCTTGTGCATTTGTCTTTTCTTGATGACTAGCTGATTTAAAGGAAACTCAAATGAGTTATTGACACAGTATTGAGATGCAGTATTCTAGAAATAACCGATTTGGAATGACTGGCTTCTCTTGTTGCTCTATGAAGGTCTTAGTCACTTTATAAAAACTCACTATCCTACAAACTTACTATAAAAACTGGAGATTTAAGCTTCTTGTTAATAATCATCTTTATTTACCCAGGTAAGTCAATTAAGAACCAGCTCTCATTTACAATGACAACCTGGCCAAGAGGCAACATAAAAAGCAGACATAAAGCAGCAGGGACACAATACAATAACAATTTCACAGATGCAGATAATAACATACAAAACATAAGAAAAACTAAAAACAAGCACAGTGATCTTGTACTACTGACTCAATTGAACTTTTAAAGGATGATAATGGAATAAAAGTGTTGCGCTTTAGGGTCTGCTGCAGATGATTTCAAGCATCAGGAGCAGAAAACTGAAAAGAGTAGCAACCAAATGAAGTGCGAACTTTGGTAATGCAAAGGTTAATAATACTACTAGAGCACAGATTTTGACATGTTTTTTGAGTGTTAAGAAGTGACTGTAAATATAGTGTAAATATACAGAAATATAGTTTTCCCAAGAGTTTTTTAAATTCGCTGACATGATTGAATTCAATAATGAATACAGTGACATTGATGAGAATTAAATGGCGTACCTGTAACAAATCAAATTGCTGCATGGTAAATAACATCCCGTTTGTGAAGGAGAGTTTTTTTAAGCTGATCTGTAAATTGAATCCTCTTAATCCAGAATTGGTGATACTTTTAATTTGTCCAAATGCTGCTTTGAAGAGTGCGTAAATAAAGATATGTTTCTGTAAAGAAAACCAATATGGGCTTTACCCTTTTTGATCAATTCATTTATATGAGTTTCAATTGCAGTTTACCATCTAAACAGATTCCAGATTAAATGTCAGATCATTTAAAATGAAAAATCATCAGCTTAAAACCAATAAATGGGATCTTTCTGAAAGTGTTCCCTCACTTTGATCAGTCTTCTTTTCAAATATCTAATTTAAGTTTTCATACTGTGTTTTAGAATATATGTAACTCGTAAAAAGTGCTGTATTGCTCCTATTAGGATAACATTAAATAATAAAAAGCAGTGACTTTGGTATTTAGAAACTGTAGTTGTTCTCTAATTTTGATCTCCACCTGTATATATGTTTATATTCTCTCATAGACACATCTTAAATACCCTTTAACATTTAAATATTCTAATAGTTATTTTATAAGTGACAACACTGTTTATTTGTACAAAGAAAGAGTCTCGATTCAATTCTAAATTGAACAATTCTGTAAATGATGTATAAATGGCATTTCTTCAAAATGTTCAGTGTTTTTGTCTTTCCCTTAAATCGTATTTCGATTGTAACTCGCTTTCATGGCCAACAAGATGATTTGGCTAAGCTGCCTTGTTCAATTATGTTCTTTCGAAGTGACTGAAATTAATCATCGGATGACTGTTGGAAGTGACGCTGGCACTGTTGCTCTGATTTACCATGGACTTCATAGAAAAGCCGAAACACAATATGAAACGCCTCTTGCAACAATGGATAATTTTCATGCTTCAGTGGTGACAAATGTATTGTGCTTGTACTCTGATGCAAATCTCTTGTACTTATGTAAATGTCCAATGTAATCGTCTGATTGTCACTCACATCAAGGCATTCTGTCTGAAAAAAAGGAAATGTTTTATGCTTTAAAATATCCTAAAGATCTTTGTGCAGGTGTTTCTGTTAGATTTATCTATATGCAGCATCAGAAATAAATAATTCACAATGTATTAAGTGTTTTGAGTCAGATTGCGCTGAATAATTAGATTTGGTTTGAAGATTATGCAACTGGTATGTGATATCATAGGTGTTTTGTATCGGTTATTAGCAACAAAATAATCAGGGTTTATACAGTCATGGAGAACCTGCGAAAGTCATGGAATTTTGACATGGCATTTTGCAGGCCTGGAAAAGTTTTGGAAAAACAGAAAAACCTACAAGGTTTTAGAAGAGTCATGGAAAACTGATATCTGTATACTTATGGCTATTTATTTCTTTTCTGTCTTTTGCCCAATCACATACTCTCACGTTATTAGTCCGGTGTAAGCATTATCTAAATCAATTTTACATAGATATAAATATACATCAAACTAAATAGATTGTGTGTTTTACGATATGCTGTAATAAATTTGAACATGCATTGTTTTTCTTTTACCACGCATGTGTAGACATTGCATAAAACATTAGGTCATGAAAATTTACTTGAAAGTCTTGAGAAAATCATGGAAAAGTCATGGAATTTTTTTTGTAAAAATGTGCATGAACTCTGAATAATATTAAATGATATTAT